ACACAACTATGTAAAAAACTAATAATTAATTTAGATAGCTTTAGTTAAATCTTAATCATATAAGTATATAACTATTTAATATAATTATATTCTGTTTTCATTTTGTACTGTATATCTTACTTTGTTAGTACTTTATGTATGTTACTTTAAGAGGGCGCTACACAGATATTTGTTGTCTTCATCTTACAAGTAGGTACGCAACATAGGCACATAGCAGATTTGCGCTCAGCAGATTACGTTTAACTCCGTTAGTTCAAAAATTATAGTGAATCGACCTATTATGAAACTTGACCGTAAGAATAATATCTGTGTTTGTATGTGGGTTTTTTAAAATAACTCAATTTTTAAGTGTGTTTATTTTTAATTTACTCTGTATTATTTACGCATAACTTTCTAAAATATTGAACTATCGTAAAAAGTAAATACCCATACACAAACACAAATAATGTTCTTACGCTCAAGTTTCATAATAGGTCGATTCACTCTAATTTTTAAACTAACGGAGTCAAACGTGATCTGCTGATCGTAAATTTGCGTATAGTAATGTTATATATATATAACGTATATATACGTATATATATGTTACGCACTTGTAGGACGGAGAGAACAAATAGCCGTGTAGCGTCCTCTTAATATAAATTATATTTAGAATTTAGACCTCACCCTCTTTGGCACAAGCTTTTAGCTTTTGAAAGGGTATAAAAATTCTTTTTTGTCTTATATTGTTTTACTACATTATATATGTTAAGATATTGTATACCTATTGGCTATTATTATAAAATATATTATTATTATAAATATGTATAACAATAAAAAACCAATAAATTGAATTTGCTGGAAAACGAAAAAATTAGAATTAGAATTTTATTCCAAAACCAATTTTTGATAAAATCAATTTTGTACAACTCAAAAAATAATAACCTTAGATACTAAATTTTGACCAAATTTTTACATGACAATTTTCCACACACGATACAATTTTCAAGACTTTTTTGAGCTGTTTATTTATTCCATGTTTTTTTTTCAATTATTGTCGATCAATAAAAAAACTTGGACATTTAATACTAGTATGAGTAGTAATTGTTCCTCGTAAGTTGTTAAGGGGCCTCACTACTAGGTACCGTCAATTTTAGCTCAAATAAGTTTTGATAACATAAAAGTTAGTTAACGTTGTCCGATTTGATTCTGAAGAAAAGATTTGAACACGTCAGAAAAATTGTCTATAAATCGTACGGAACATTTTGTAAAAATTGAATATTTTATTATTGTGAATGTAATTAAAAATTTGAAAATACGAAATTTTTCAAATAATAATTAAAACGAAAAACGGAAAGTGTTTCGTACGATCGACAGACATATTTCTACTGAATTCATTTTTTTTTTCAGAATCAAAATCAGACAACGTTAAATAACTTTATAGTTTTGTGAAAACATTAAGTAAGTTTTCGTAAAATTTGTATGGTGAATTTTATATTTGTATCGAGTTATTGACATATAAATACTCGAAATGCGTATATGTGAGTGGACCGAATTGAATTTCATTCACACTAATAATTAATAATCATTTACAATCAACACATAGATCCCTGGCGGCTAAGACGTGATTAGAAATTGCCTAAATGTTGCTCCTTTAATAGCCGTAATGATGTCCCTTTAAATAGCGCAATTAAAAAAAAGTAAAAATCCACATTTTTTTACGTCAGTCTGAAGTTAAAATTTTAACGAAATTCATCAAATTATTTTTCAATTAGAAATTCTTAGAAATGTTTGTTTTTATAGTTAACTTTTGTAAATTTAATAGAAGATTCCTCATACATTTTCCTATTTTAACAAAATAAATAGTTTATCGAAAAGTAACATAATTTTTTTATGAACGTTTGAATTTAAACAATAACCCTTAAAATAACGATTTATCAAACATTTTTTTTTATTTTTGTTGCAATTCAAAAACGAATAAACCTTGAAATTTTCTCTAACTGTTTATATTAACATTTTACATACCTGATGCAATTTATCCAAATATTTTAATTTTTAACTCTTTAAAATATTTATAGCCATGAGACATTTTTTTTCAATTATTGTCGATAAATAATTTATGCTCGATCATATAAAACTTAAAAATGTAATACGGTTTCTTATAAGTTGTAACAATACAAGTTAAAAGATATCAAAGAACAAAGAATCATTTTTTTACAAGCATTTAAACTTAAAATCTTGACAAAATTAATCAAAATCACGAACAATTTGCAAATTATTTTTTAGCGAAAAATTCAGAAAATTAAAAAAAAAGTTTCTCATAAACATTTCATACTGTAACCAAAAAATATTTACCCAAACAGTTTTTTTCTTATAGTTATATCTAATTTCAATTAATTTAGACGAAATTAGATATTCAAACAAACGCAGTTATTTTGTTGCAATTTAAAAAAATTGTTTGTGAGCGCCAACTTGAAACTTTTAAAGTATATTTTAATATTATAGGTAAGTATGTCTTTACTTTTTTGCATATGAAATTTTTTCGTCAAAACATTATTCAAACTAGTATTACTATAAGTAAAATAAGTTAATACCATAGTAATATATATTATATACCTAGTAATATAGGCTGACAAACCGTCTTTGATCAGACTCGCTTTTCGTATACAATGATTTTGTACCATTGAATTCAAATTTAACACATCCATTTCAGTGACCCACACAACACCTAATGTATAGCAGAGCGATATACCCACTTGCACACATTTTTTTTATTTTATAAGGAACAAATCATATTATTATATTACTAATTTATTTAATGCCTATGTTTAAAAATACCTATACAAAAATTAATAATGATTATTTTAGATCTATAAAATATAAATTTACCTCCTAGCTTCATTGTCATAAATTTACTTAAATGAACTATTTTCAGATGTAGCTCTTCTCTTTAAAACATCCCTGAAAGCCTTTACTATTGACTCATTGGCATTATCAGGTGGGTGGCCGTTGTGTGGTTGTATTGTCACATATCTTCCAATTTTTTTCTCGACCCGTTGCAAAAATAACCACATCGTTTTGCACACCTGTAGTATCTGTCATAAAAATATTAATTTAAGTTATAAATTTTTGTGTTTATATAATTACTTACTAGGGTTGAACAATTTGCAATGTTCATTGATGAAAATGAATATATTTTAGGACCTGTTCGTTTAATAATTTAATTTTTTTAATAAACTAAATTGAATTGAGTTTTTGAAATTTTCGCAGAATCATTTTTCTATGTTTTTAAGTAATCTTAAAGTACAATCCATTACAAAAAAGATAGAGAATAATATTTTTGAGGGAATGACATCGATTTGTCTAGATATTGTCTCAAAACAATTTAAACATAATTTAAATGTACATCTTTTTTTATTTTGAAAGTCGTAAACAAAGTCAAATAACAATAAAATATAATATCGATGCGTCTTCCCCCATAAATATTTTTCTTTTTCTTTTTTGTAATGGCTGATTTTACTCTAAGATTACTTAAAAAACATAGAAAATTTCTGCGTAAATGCGTTTAGTCTATGTTGCGCGAGGGTCAGAGAAAACAAGTAGTGCTCAGACATCCTCTTAAGAACGTTATTTAATTGTTTTTCTCTATAAAGCATTTTTTACTACATATTTTTATTTACTACCTAATTATGTTTTTTTATTTGAACAATCGAAAAATACCATTAGTAAATAATAATACAGTCCAGAGTAATGCACAATATTACTTATGGCTTATATATCTAAATTAATTTTGTGCAATTAAATATAGGTAAGTACTCACGTTATCCCTTTTTTGGTTCCCAAATTGTCATATATAAATCCATCAGATGGATTCATTACATCATCGGCATCATTCATTTCTAGTTTAAAAACTTTAAAGCTATATTATGTAAACTAATTAAAACAGTTAAACAATTAGGAATTGCGGTTTTGTACTGTTGTGTAGTCACTATAGTCTGCAGTAGTGCAAGTGGAAAGTGCAGTACGATTAGTGAGTACTATTATAATACTCTCGTTGACTCGTAATCTTCCATCCCAGACCGCCGCTGTTCATATACAAGCATCCCTCTCAATAAGTTCACGTTTGAGAGAACGCTACACCAGCATGTCATACAAATATACAATACAACATAGAAAAACTGGTTTGCCAGGGATAGAACTCATGCTGTACATCGGCGTAAATAGGGGGGGCTTAGCCCTCCCGTATTAGTATTTAGCCCCCTAAAAGGTTTTAATTATTAGCCCCTCCTTATAGGCTCATAGTTAGAACCAAAATCCTTAAGAAGAAAAAAAAATGTTTAAAATAATTAATAATGATTATTGTATTATAAATTATAATAATATAAAATATTATATATTATAATATACGTAGATTCCTCAGAAGTTTGTGTAATTTTATCAAAAAAAAATCTACCGGAAAGTCAAATAAAATTTGTATGGGCGATTTAATTCAAATTTAACACAATCCATTACAGGGATTTACTTGTAACATACTGTACAGCAGACCGACACCCACTTGCCCACCTTTTTAACTATGTAACATGTAACTATGTAAGTGAATATGGATTTATATTTTATGTTTACATTATTTTCAAAAATGTTTCCCAATTACATTTTATACACTCAGTCACTTAAAAAAGTAATGTTTAATATTATTATTATTTTCATTTTGAAACCATGAATAATTACATGTTTCAATAGGAGATAAAAAAATAATAGCCATCAGTGATAAATCTTATTTGTGGTTCAGACGCATACCTATGTCAATTTATTTTCAACATTAGTCAACAAATATTGATAATACAATAGTTAATTGTAAATGTCTGTGCACTACAACTAAACTAGTTAAAAAAACCGTGATATCTAAAAGATAAAAAGGTGGACAAGTGGATGTCGCTCTACCAGGGGCGGCTCCAGAGCCTTGGTTGGGAGGTGGCCAAGTTATAATTTCACAAAACTTTATAACAAAAAGAAAACAACAATTTTTATAACACAAATTCAAGTCGTCTATTTTTAGAATTGGCAAAATTATCAATAATATGATCGATTTGATCTAGAAGATCTACTTTATTATGTACATTAATTAGACATAATGCTGATAGTCTATCTTCAGTCATCCTTGAACGAAGCCAGGTTTTAAGTCTCCGAAGTGTGGAGAAACTCCTTTCGGCAGACGCAACACTAACTGGTAGAGTTGCTAATACTTGCGATAATTTACTAATAGTTGAAAACATATCTTCATCGCAGTGCATGTATGATTCCAATCTATTTTTGTTTGAAATTTTTTTTTTTTTACAACATACATTTTTTTGTAAATACGGGCTGGGGGTCACAGCCCTAGCCCCCCCCCCCTTGGAGCCGCCTCTGCGCTCTACTGTACAGTAGATTACAAGTGGGTCACTGTAATGGATGGTATTAAGTTTGAATTCAATGATATCCATTGTATACGAAAAACGATTCTAAGCGAAGACTGTGTGTCAGCTTATAATATTACTATTATTTTATTTTAATATTACTATTGTATTATTTTATAGGTAGGCATATTTTATGACATTATTGTTAAGTAAAGTAATTCATTTTAGTATTCTAAAAAACTTAAAATTAGAAATTGTCCGTAAACAGCTTAACATGAGTAAAAATATTTCAAAATTTTATGTTGTAAATAAAATGCTAATATAAACATTCAGTGAAATTTTCATGTATCTATAGTTATTCGTTTATAAATAACAACAAAATAAGGAAATCGCTACATGAAATCGAGTGAACATCCAATGTTGTAAAAATTTGAATTTCAAACGCTCATAAAAATTTAATTTGACTGTCTGGAAGAGATTTTTTTATTGATAAAGGTAGACAAACTTATGAGTAATCTTGTATTATATTTTCAAATCTTAGATTTAAAAAGAATAATTTTTGCGAATTCTTAACTCAAAATAATTTGCTAATTTTCGTGATTTTTCCATATTTTGTCAATTTTTGAACTTTAAATGCTTATAAAAAAAAACTGTGAATAACGATTTTTGATATTTTTCATCTGCCATTGAAACAATATACTAGGAGCCTTCTATTAAATTTTCAAGTTTTTTTAACCAACAAATAAATATTTATTGATATTTCTAGAAAAAAAACTAAAAAAAAAAGAAAAATGAAAATGTCCCTAAACAGTTCAAAATAAATCAAAATATTTTGAAAATGTTATCGTGTATAGAAAATGCAAATATAAACAACCAGTGAAAATTTCATGTATTTACGGTCATTTGTTTTAAAGTTACACCAAAAACCGATTTTGCGTAAAAATTCCCTTTTTTCTTAATTTTTATGTTGTTTTCCCCGGCGCTTGTGAACATTATTGGGAAATTTAAATTTTGACCTAACCAATGCACCAACGATATTCACTTTCCAATCGAACAAGATACTGAAGTCGAAAATAGAAGCATTATTTCGACTACTTATCGTGTACACAGACACAAAAAAAAAAAAAATAAAATAAAAAAAAACACACATCATTGTAAAATCAATACATTCATTGTTTCACTCAGAATCTAAAATTAAAAATTAAAAAATTAAAAAAAAAAAAAAACACACATCATTGTAAAATCAATACATTCATCGTTCCACTCTGCAGAATCTAAAATTCAATTTTATTTTTAGATAACAAAATAATAATTTCTTATAGTTTTATTGTTTTTTTTAGCTCTATAACTAGAAGGGCAAGGGCATAATATTATAGTTGCTTTTTAAGTCTTTTTTATGTTTTTTTTTTTAAAATTGGTACACAAAACGGTTATTATCTATGGCGTTTTCAGTCTGTTGTCGTTTTTGATCAATTAGCCCCTCACGAACAACTGGACATGATTACCTACGACTTCTGTGGTATCAACGAGGGGGTCCGTCTATAGATATAGAACAATGTTAATATCATTTAGGTTAGGTTAGGAACAATTTTAATATCATTGGAAAGTGAATATCGTTGGTGCATTGAGGAGGTCAACATTTAAAATTCCCAATAATTTTCAAAAGCACCAAGAAAAACAAAAGAAAAATTAAGGAAAAACGATTTTGGTTTTTGGTGTAACTTTAAAACAAATGACCGTAGGTACATGAAATTTTCAGTGGTTGTTTATATTTGCATTTTCTATACACGATAACATTTTCAAAATATTTTGATTTATTTTGAACTGTTTAGGGACATTTTCAGTTTCCAATTTTATTAGTTTTTTTTAGATTCTGAGCGGAGCGATGAATGTATTGGTTTTACAATGATGTATGTTTTTATATTTTTATTTATATTTTTGTGTCTGTCATCACGTTTTGGGACAGTAAAAGTGCTTCGATTTTCTTCAATAGTACCTTTTCTGATAGGAAAGTGAATCTAGTTGGTACTTTGGGGGGTCAAAAGTAAACATTTTACAGTAGTTTTCACAAGCGCCCGGAAAAACAACATAAAAATTAAGGAAAAACGGGAATTTTTACTCAAAATCGATTTTCCAAAAAATCGAATTTGGTTTTTGGTGTAACTTTAAAACAAATGACCGTAGATACATGAAATTTTCACTGGTTGTTTTTATTTGCATTTTCTATACACGATAACATTTTCAAAATATTTTGATTTATTTTGAACTGTTTAGGGACATTTTCATTTTTCATTTTTTTTTAGTTTTTTTTCTAGAAATATCAATAAAATTTTATTTGTTGGTTGCGAAAGCTTGAAAATTTAATAGAAGGCTCCTAATATGCTGTTTCAAAGGCAGATGAGAAATATTAAAAATCCTTAGTCACAATTTTTTTTATAAGCATTTAAAGTTCAAAAATTTACAAAATATGGAAAAATCACGAAAATTAGCAAATTATTTTGAGTTAAGAATTCGTAAAAATTTTTCTTTTTAAATCTAAGATTTGAAAATGAAACACAAGATTCCTTATAAGATTATCTACCTTTATCAATAAAAAAATCTCTACCGGACAGTCAAGTTAAATTTTTATGAGCGTTTGAAATTAAAATTTTTACAACATTGGATATTCACTCGATTTCTCATGTAGCGATTTCCTTATTTTGTTGTAATTCAAAAACGAACAACTGTAGATACATTAAAATTTCACTGAATGTTTAAATTAGCATTTTCTATACACCATACAATTTTGAAAATATTTTGTTTCTTTTTGAGCTGTTTAGGGACATTTTCAGTTTTCAATTTTTTTAGTTTTTTTTTTTTATAATTGCCAATAAAATTTTATTTGGTGGGCCAAAAAGTCTGAAAATTGAATACAAGCTTTCTTATATATTGTTACAATATCAGTTGAAAAATTTTAAAAATACAAAAGCACGATTTTTTTTTATAAGCATTTAAAGTTGGAATTTTGACAAAATTTATCAAAATCTCGAAAATAATCAATCGTTGGAATTAAAAAATTATAAAATGTTCAGTTTTTATAACTAAGAGTTGAAAATTTAAAACAAAGATTCTCTTAAATAATTCATACTGTAACCAAAAAATCTAAAAAATATATAAACACACTTATTTTTTACAGGCATTTTAATTTCAAATTTGGACGAAATTACATATTAAAAAACCTAGAATAAGTATTTTAGTTATTTTGTTGTGATTGAATAATATTATTCGTGGGTACTTGAAACTTCTAAAGTGTACTATTATATATCTATGATAGTATCACGGTTTTTGTTGATGTATAACGCGTTATAAGTATCTAATGGATATTGTGATATGATTAATTTGGAATTTATTATAGGTACCTATTATAGGTCAATTTTTTGTTTAATACCATAGTATTGTATATAATATGCCTTATACATAGACTGACATACCATCACCGCTCAGAATCGTTTTTCTTATACAATGATATTATATCATTGAATTCAAATTTAATACCATCCATTATACAGTGACCCACTTGTAACCTACTGTACAGCAGAGCGACACCCACTTGCCCACCTTTTTTTTTTATGAATATCAATAAAAATTTATTTGTTGAGTAAAAATACTTGAAAATGTAATACAAGGCTCCTACTATATTGTTTCAAAGACAGATGAAAATATTAAAAATCGTTAGTCACAGTTTTTTTTTAAGCATTTAAAGTTCAAAAAATGACAAAATATGGAAAAATCACGAAAATTTGCAAATTATTTCTAGTTAGAAATTCATAAAAATTTTGTTTTTTAAATCTAAGATATGAAAATGTAATACAAAATTTCTTATAAGATTTCCTACATTTATCAAAAAAAAAAATTCTATAAGAAAGTCAAATTAAATTTTTATGAGCGTTTGAAATTCAAATTTTTACAACATTGGATATTCACTCGATTTCTCATGTGGCGATTTCCTTATTTTGTTGTAATTCAAAAACGAATTACTGTAGATACATGAAAATTTCACTGAATGTTTATATTAGCATTTCCTAAACACCACACAATTTTGAAAATATTTTGACTCTTTTTGAGCCGTTTACGGACATTTTCAGTTTTCAATTTTTTTAGTTTTTTTTTCCTATAAATATCAATAAAGTTATATCTGTTGGGCCAAAAAGTGTAAAAAATTAATGCAAGGCTCCTGATATATTGTTACAATGGCAATTGAAAAATATTAAAAATACATAGGCATAATTTTTTTTTATAAGCATTTAAAGATCGCATTTTGACAAAATTTATCAATCATCGTAATTAATAAATTATAAAATGTTCAGTTTTTATAGCTAAGGAATGAAAATTTAAAAAAAAGATTCTCATAAATAGTTCATACTGTAACCAAAAAAATCTAAAAAATATATGAACACAGTTATTTTTTACAGACATTTTAAATTTAAATTTGGACGAAATTACATATTAAAATCAATATTAACGATCTTGGGTTTTTTGTTGTAATTTAAAAATATTATTCGGGGATATATGAAACTGAAAAATCAAAATATTATGGACTATCCATACAATCTACCATAGTACAAGGAATAAGAAGTATGCTCAATGATAAGACTGTGCATATTAAAAGGGGCAATGAATAATTTATTCATAAATTCCATATAATTTAATACCATAGATAAGTACCTATATAATATGTCTTATACCTAGACTGCAGTGTTGTAAAAAATACTTTTTAAAAGTATTTAAGTAATTACTCAAATACTCTTAAAATAAAGTATTTAAAATACCACCCAAATACTATAAATAGTAAAGTATTTGAGTAATACTCAAATACTTTTCAGAAGTATTTAAAATAATCTTCAAATACAAAAAAAAAA